GGTGTGGTGCTGCACGTAGATTTAACTTCCATTCATCGTAGACGGTTTTAGTCGCTCGCTTGACTTGACTTGCTCGCCCGCGGAAACGCTCCATGCACTATGTACTCACTTTCCATGCCAGCAAACGGCATTGCACTATAGACCAGAATACGAGCTAAGCACGCGACGCATAAACATGAGTGGAAAGGAATGGACACATTGATGGAAATCGTGCATAGTGCACAACACCTTGATGGATTTGTATGTAAATCTACGGCTTAAGCGTGCGGACCTTTTCGGCAATGCGAGGGCAACCCTTTTGCCATGACTAACGTCCCTCCCGGCGTCGCGAGCCGCCCTGTGTAACGAGCCGGCATCGAGCATTTTCATGAACAATACTCTGCGCTGCCGACATAATTTCACTTTGCCGTGCCCAGGCCGTAGAGTAGGGTGACAAATTACTACCGACCGTTCGCTGTCGAAATTGGTTCCGGGTTGCAGTCGCTATAATCAATTCCGTCCTCGTGCAAAATCCTACCACTCACGTTGCTCATTACTTCTGGACGCGATACTGATTTTTTTGCAGATTCATCAGGCTCGGCAGATTGCCCGGAGTCCACGCTATCGCAAACTTCAATATTGATTCACTTTATATGCATTTGCAGGATCCCGAGCGCTCCCGCCGTCGATGTTTACGATACCATTTCCAAATCTCCTCTGCTGACTCATGTGGGCGGCCGGGAGGTCCCGCAGAGCATGCGATGCGCCACAGCAGTCCCGCTTAGCATGCTTGTCCACGTCAAGTATCATCGAGACCACTGTGGGCTACAGTACATCTTACTTGACCCTAGAGTCTGCTTCCTGTCAGCACGAGTTTCATCTGCAGAAGCAAGTGGATGCCGAGAGCACAGTGACGACAGCGTTGCCACGATTCTTTCGTTATACTTCGCTCGATTCAGAGGGCATCGGACTAGTCCACAATGACCAAAGCATAATTGCAGTTGCTATGTACAAATTGAGCATATCGCGCAATGTCCACTTCTACTTTAGGAGGCGCGACTTGCTACGGAGTTTTCCAATCAGTGTCCATTTGGATCTCTGCGCATGCTGTTTACAGATCTATTAGAATCGGCCCTTGTCTTAAGGTCTTCTCTGGTACTCTGATTTTGATAGCGCGCAATGTTGTTCTTGTATATCATCGTGTGCGGATGGTCTTCGCCGCGCTGCCTCTTGCTCACCTCCCAGCATCGCTCCCCCATCTCCGCCGCTTTCCTGCTGTCGCCGAGCCGGTCGTAGTACCCCGCGAGGTGGCCCATCGAGACGAGTGTCTCCCGATGCTCCTCGCCGAGCTGCCTCTTCTTCGCCTCCCAGCATCGCTCCTCCATCTCCGCCGCTTTCCTGCTGTCGCCGAGCCCGTC